GAGGAAGGTCCTTAGTGTCCTGTTGACTTTGTATAGCACCAGGCATTCACAGATCTATGTGTGTGGCATTGAGTTGTAGGCTTTCCTGTAGTCAGTTCAGGCTGTGCTCCAATTGGTCTGTCTAGACCTTGAGTCTCGGGCAAATGCTCTATCTATGAGCAACTGATGTTGTCCCCAATGCTCTTCTGAGCTGTGCTCATGTACTGGCCCATATTGTCCTATAGCTTGGCAGCTATGATGCCTGATGGAACTTTCCATGTTGTGGGAAAGAAGGTTATTGGCCAGTAGTTGGACAGTGCTGTTCCTTTGTGGGGGTCTTTCATGATCAGCACTGTCCTTCCTTGTGTTAGCCAGTCTGGGTAGGATCCTGCTGCTAGCAGCTGATTCATCTGTGCTGCTAGGCATTCATGCAGTGTTGTTAGTTTCTTCAGCCAATTGGTGTAGATAATGTCCGGGCCAGATGCTGTCCAGCTCTTTATGTTCTTGACCTGCTGTTGGATGTCTGCTACAGTTATGGTGACTGGTTCCTATTCTGAGAGATTGCTGTGGTCTGCTCTTAGGTCCTGCAGCCACTTTGCACTGATGCTGTGTGTCTTCTCTTTCCATATGGTCTTCCAGTACTGTTCAGTTTCTGCTGTTGGTGACTCTGCTGTTACTGTGTTGTTGCACTGCAGTTGCAAGTACACCTTGGATGGTTCTTTGGAGAACAGGGCATTTACCTTCTTGGCCTCTGCTTCTCTAATGTATCTTCTTAGCCTGGCAGCCAGTGGTGTGAGCCTTTGTTTAGCATTCTCTAGGGCTTCAGATGGAGTCAGGCCCTTGTATTTTTTCAGTAGCCAAGTCTTATCCTTAATTTCTACAACCTTCTGTAGTTCCAGCTGACTAACTTCTCTCCCAGTAGCCTTGATCTTAGATTCCGAGATTCATTTTCTGTTGTGTGTGTGTGTGTGGGGGGGTATATACTGCTGTTCTTCTTGATCACGTAGCCAAGCATCTGCAGGATTACAGTGGTTGTAATGTATACCAGTTCATTGGTTTGAGTTATGTTGGTAGTAAGGATTGTCATGAGGGCTCTATTGGCATCTTCTAACATATCTGATTGTACTTCTCCACTGAGCCATGGTAATTAGTCTCAAAGGTTGACTATAACTAGTTTATCCATGATCTTATGCCTCATATCAGCTGTTGTGCTCTGTAATGGAAGGGGTAGCAGTGACGTTCCAACTTGAAATGTCTGCTGCAGATCCAGTTGTTCTTCCAGGTCTTCATGAGTCTGCAATATAATGTGTAGTTGGTCTATCTCAGATTGTGAAAGCAGCTTCTTCTTCACTATGTTGAAGTGTTGGGTAACTAGCTGTTTCTTAGTTAGGGTGGATGTAGGCCTCCTGTCCATAGTTCGCTCATACGTTTCATATATCCCCTCTCATTAGGTCTACTGTTATAGTAGCATTCCATCAATTCCAGGTTCTCTTGTCTTGTTCGTATGTGGTTTGTTCCAGTAGCCCATGTATCATCAGATTGTCCTGGTTCCCCAACATCTACTGAGGAACTTGTTAGACTCTCTTAGTTTGTATCACTCTCATATCTGAGATAGATGAAGCATTAGGAGGTCTTTGCTCAAGGACCGCTACTGGTAAGGTAGGTACCAGCCGGGATTCAAAGCCCGGTCTTCCGCATCAAAGGGTGGCATTCTAACCATTACGTATCCATTTGTGCCAATATGGACAAAGGGTTGAGTGTGTGTGTGTGTGTAAAACAAGGGAAGAAACTATCCTCATTTCACTTAAAGGGTAACAGCAAGATTTTATGTAAAAAATAATTGTAGCAGAACGGTTAATAATGTCCATAGCATAATTAAGTTTATCATTCTCTTGGGTCAGATTACACAAAAAAGGATTAAGAAAACATTAAAATTTACATTTTGAATTAAATAAAAAGTCTAAAGAAGAAAAGCCCACAAGAGTAGAATTTGCTGGCTAAGCAGCACACTAGACATGTTAGCTGAATTGATAAAGCTGAAGAAGCATCAATTACTTGATGTGTTATTTCTTTACTTAAGGAGGAGGAGGCTATAAGGGGGGGGGGGAAATAAAATATATTTAATTTGGCTTAATATTTAATTGTTCAAAAGATTTGGAATTACTGAATTTATTTTATTAAAATGGTAAAATAATAATAGTAATAATAAATAATAAATAATAATAATAGTTGTTGTTTTGATGTACATGATCTGTGTACGGTTGAGGCTTGGATCTGATCAGGGAATCTTTTTTGTGCTACTCTGGGAAGTCAGTCTCAAAGCTTTACTCAGAGCAGTAAAAAATCCAGAGAGCCCTCTAAAAGTTACATGGATAGGTTTAAAAGTGATTGTTTTATCTGGCTTCAGTGTTGGAAACAAACAACAAATAACTTTCTTTCTCTTCTTCTCAATGGTCTGCTATGGAAAGTACTCGGCTGTGGCTTTAATCCCATCATGGTAGATGGAGAATATATACAAAACTATGGATTATAGACAGAATACATTTTTTTGTATTGCAGTATTCCTGGATGCCAGAACACATACTGCTTTGTAAGATGCTGTAAATGGACAAAATAAAATGGACTCATTAAAATGATGTCTAGGTGAAACGTATAGCTAGTTATTATCAAAAAATGAATGTCTGAACTACCTTTTTAGAAGTATTTAAAGAGCTGGGGAAATAGATAAAAACTATTTGGGTTGGCGCTGAGCTACACATTAAACATTTCCTTTGTATACTTAAATTATTTAATTTAAGTATACATTTGCTAACCCACATTTTTCCACATTAAAAAACAATTGTGTACAACAGATGTGTATGTTTTATAGGTTTGTGACAGGTAATAATTAAAAGGACATATCTGAGAATAAGAAGTCAAGTGACAAAGTGTTGGAATAAACTGATACAGTAAATAAAAATAAGTTGTTTACTCCAGATGGTATTCATCCAACAGTTGCAAATAAATTTCAGAAAACAGCTGACTCAGTTTGCAACTTGAAAAAGAAAAATCACTAGGCAATGTTCATGTTTTAAATTAAATTAAACTTAGAAAAAACTGCAGTTCAAAATACTTTAAAATCCACAGCAGGTGTAATCTATTTAGAAAGGTGTCCCTTAGAGCATTAGAGAAGTTACAAATGTTGAGAGTTTTAAAATGAATAAGAACAGAGTAGATTTTTCTCCATCTGGGCATGTTAAAACAAATATGCATGGAGACATATTGCAGTATCAAAGCACAGCTTCTATACCATGGTTTTGGAATTGTATCAGAAGGCATGCAGTAGCTTTAAATCATATCTGAATGGACAGCAGGAAAAAAGGGTTAGTTGTCTTCCTGATAACTGATATCAAAGGGATGTCAGCAGATGATAGTGGATGCAATAAATGGCAAGATAGTAGTCCACAGAAATGATTTTATTGCAGAACATTATCATTTTTTTTTCTCTCAAGGAAACGTTCTAAATAGTAAAGACACATCGCAGTATTAAAAGCAGGCTGATACAATTTTTGAATAAGAAGTATTAAACATCTGCTTTGTTAAAGTTAATGAATGATTTAGTAGGAGCTAAGTAGTTGACATTTGACTGCTGATTTTGAACATTGAAAACAATAGCTCAGTTCTAAGATTTCTACATATGGTAGAGGTAAGTAGGGATCTTCTTACATTAAACCAGTCCTTTTATTATTGTTATTAATATTATTATTTGCATTATTAAACCAGCCCATTGAGACAATTAGCCAAAACATGGAATAAATACAAACATTGTATAACATCTGAGCCCATGTAAGGTGGCAAGATGTTTGAAAAGCTAAAGAGAGTCAAATCTGGCAAGTTTTTGGAAGTGAGGCCAGGAAAACTAGATCTATAGATGAGACTAAGAATTTGGGGGGGGGGGAGAAAATCTTAGAAGAAAGCAATGACAAAAAAATGTGATATTCCTGTAAAAAGAAACAAAAACTCTATAAGCATATCCGCTTAGTCTGAAGACAAGTTGATGATATGGGGATTCTCTGAACTGTTCAAATCCTTTTTTGCTCCTCACATAATGGGTGCATGTACTAGAACTCTTCAAGCCATCCCTCCCTCAGCACCTTGACATATTTTAGTAAAACAAACTATGTACAATTAAATTAGTAAAGGTCAGGTAACCTTTGAAGTAACTTCTAGTGCAATGGAAGAGCAACCTTTAAAAGTGAAAATGGGGAAGTCTCTCAGCATCTGCTTTAATGGTATAAACATCTATACCCTTACTGATCCCAATAAACTATGAAACAAACCAAATGAATCACTCAAATCTTATAACCAAGTTCTGTGATTTGGTAATATAAAATTGCATGCAGAAAAATAGGACATACAGGTAGTCCTTGTTTAGTAATCACAACTGGGACCAGCAACTCATTCATTAAGTGAAGTGGTCACTGGGTAAAATCACAACTGTGTTTATGATCTTACTTCAGCTTTCCTTTGTTTTACAGACCTGCAAAGGCTGTAAATGCAAAGATAGATTGCAAAGTTATTTTTTCATCACCATCGTAACTGCAAGCAGTCATTGTCTGAGGCAGCACTGAATGTGGACTACCTGTATACTGAAACTCTGAGACTAGTCACATTAGCAGCTGACCTAACTGTGATAAAAAATGGATGCCTCGCTGCCTGTGATAGAGACGGGCAGCAATTTGCAGAATTATCCACAATAAATCCACTTGCATATTTGGAGACACTGTCGATATATTATTTAGATTCATCTGAAACAAAGATCAGTAAAGGTTGTTCTCAAGCAACTCTGCATGGAGTTGTAGTGTAAGACTATTTATTTGTAGATAAATGTCATTAGATTCATTAGGATTGATTAAGCTTTGCAGAATTATACTGATAGTCTGTTGTCTTATAAACATAGCTTGCCTGGAAGGAAGCAACACTGACATTTTAGCAGACATGTAGAGGATTATACTCTAATATTATTAAAATCATATCCTTCAAAAAAAGAACCCTTTTCAATCAAATGAAATAACAGCTGGATATAATACAAGGATATAATATTTTTCATATGATTTTAATGGAGGGTAATATGATCTTGCAGAAGTTACATCATTCATTTCATATTTACCTCAAATTCACTTCTTACTAGTACTCTTACGAATCTATAGCACTAGCTTACTCTTAAGAAAGAATGATACTTCATGTAATGACTTCAAATAAAAATGTCAGTTTTTATGTCAATACTAAAACTTGTACTGAAAATCATATTTTGTTTTTAGAATGAAGTTACTGAATCTAATCTGCAAGGCCACCGTTAGTTTCTAGAAGGAAACTCCTCTTAACTATTGGAAAAAATGCAAGAATTATATATGATAAAATTCTAAAACAGACTTCTTAATTACAATCAATCATATGTACATTGACAACATTCAGAAGTCTTCCTTATCAATAGATAACTAATCAAGAAAAAACATTTTAAACAATTATCCATGTTATTTATAAAATGATAATTGCATATAGTAGTTGTGATTCTTTGTATTGTAAAGACATTAAAGAGAATTTGGCAGACTGTTTCAGTAATAAAAAACAACACAGATAATTCGGTGTGACTGAGGCACATCTGAGTAGTATGTTTTAGTCTGAAACACTATAAAACCTGACAAAATCAAGAATAGGTAACATTAACTCATCAACCAAAGGCAGTCAGAGAAATCTTGCAAATAGCTTAGGTTTTGCAAACATTTGCAACCCAAATGTTTGGGTTGCACAGGGAACTGAAAATTAACAGTCTGGCTTTATCCAGATAAGTTTGTAAGAATGATTTTATGCATGAGGGAAGTTTCTGTCTCAACTTGTCAGACTCTTAGGTTTATGTTACTGAAATATATTATTTCATTTTAAGAATGAAATTTTAAAATTCATTTAAGAATATTATTGGAATGATGTTATCAGAAGTATAAGGGTAAAGTCTTCTTCAAATAAATCTCCATTTCTAGTGATTACAAGGACACATCCATGTAGTTTTCTTCACAATATGGACATGGTTTGCCATTTTCTTCCTCTGGGATTTTTTTCATCTTCCAGTCTAGGTTCCAATCCTGATGATTCCTGGTAGACTTCCATTCAACTACTGAACAGGTCTAATTCTGCTTTGAGTTTCCAACATCAACCAAAGTTAGCTAGGTTCTGCCATTGTAGTTGTCATAGGAGTGCAATCTCCTAAACTCTGGAGTAGCACAAATCTAAATAAATAAATAAATAAATAAATAAATAAATAAGGAATATTTGTAAATGTGTGAGACTTTCATGTCATTTAATAGGATAGGTGACATTAATACTGTATTTAATTGTTAGCACTATTGCTTGATTCCACCAGTTCCTCTGAACATCAACTTTCTTTGGCTTTTCAGCCTTGTTGAGAATGGAAGATGTAGCTTTCTATTGTCCTTCTATTCCTAGTTTCTTGTTAATCTGTTGCATAGCAATATATGCCTTGGTATTATATTTCAGTTTGCTTACATTTTTGCTTCTACTTTGACACTACTATCCCAAGGTCCATGGATCCAAAACATCTGTCTTGATTTAAGAAGACTTCCTTTCAAGTACCATCATTCTTCAGAAGAAGGAATTGTATGAAGAGGAGAAAATTTAACTAGATCTCTGAGAAGTTTCTTTCTGCCCATCATGCACTAAATATGAATAGAAATTCAAGCTTAATTTGAAAAAGTAATGAATAAATATTGTTATGATGCACAGTTTTAGAAATGTGTTCTGAAAAGTAGGAAAAGATTAATAATTTTTTAAAAAATAAATTGTATGTAATTATATATAAAATATGACAACTGTACTATATAGTATATTACATGATTTTAATTCTGGGCTACAGGGGAAATTTTAAATCAGAAAGGCCCTTATCCAATTCATTTCCATTCTTTTAGGCCCAAATAATAGAAAATGAGTAATGCTTGGAGAGTTGGCCCAATAAGAATAGACAATATTAAATTAGATGGACAGATAATCTGATTCCTTCATCTAGTTCTGTGTAATGACCAAACCCAAATCCTTGATAATTCTTGCTATTGTCATCTGGGAAATTAGAGAGAGTGAACGTGGATTTCACAAGCATGTTTGAAGCAGAAAAAATAAAGGAGATGGTCTTAGAAGATACCAAGACAAATGAAAAAAATATTAAACTAAAAGCAAAGTAAAAAAAAAAGAACGTAAATATGTATGCATATACACACATATATAAAGGGGCTTCCAGATCTAGCTCAGCTTCTGATGAGTTCAAAAAGTCATCCATTTAGTCGTCTTGGCAAAAGTGGGAACATGATTTGCTATTGCCTTCTTCCCAGGATGTTTTCTTTTTAACTTCCTAGTTTAGCCATGGATTTCCTGGTGATTTCATATCCAAGCACTAACTCTGATTACCTTTTCTAATCAGTTATGGTTGGCAAGTCTGCCACCTGTTCTGACATAATTTCTACAGTTCTGTACTGGAGAAACATCAGGTGTTTTCAATTCAAAATGGACACTATTACGTCAGTCTTTTTTTATAGATAAATATAATAAAAGCCAAAAATGAGACATTATGATAACAAAGGAAGTTAATTGTTGTTGAGACCTTGGTGTCAGTGATGAGGAGGATAACAAGTGGCCTATTTATGATATAACATGTCTCATCAGTGACTTAGACGTTGCTGTGAAGAATATGCTAATCACGTATTTAAACAATAGAAGCTTGGAAAGGATTGCAGATCTTTTTGCCAAATGCAATTAAGTACTCTATAATCTTGATAAATTGGAAGGATGGGCTGAAATGTGATAAGACAGGACTTCAAATCAAGACATAATTGCTTTGCTCTTGAATGCTAAATAAAAGACTAAAGCAAGTAAATATGGGGAATTGTAGACAATGAGGAGCAATAAATCTCATTGAAAAAGCAAAGTATCTAATAATTTGTGCTACAATAAGTGATAGAAAAATGGACTAGAGACTTCAATTAACAGTGTAGTCATATGGCTAGAATGCAGCTTTTTCCTTCATTTTGTATGTTCACATCTTAAAAGGTTCACACTTTGTTCACATTGAGAGAAGCATGGTATAATCTCCTGCATTTGTAGCACTTTAGAAATGCAGTAGAATATTGCTTGGTTTAATGTTTCCCTTGCACTAAAAAAGGAAAAATAATTCCTCTTTCCAATATGTATAAAACGAAGATGTTCTTCCCTTGAGGTGCTAGCTTTTAATAAACAAGAATAGTTACTATTGCATTAAATCTGTAAAGCCCTCCATTACCTACATTTCTAATTGCAATCAGGTTGTCCTAAAATGTAGATAGGACATTAAAAAAAATCGTACTTACAAAAATATTAAAATATTTAATTATTACAGAAACTGTATTTAGTGGATAATGCTGTATTTAGTGGATAATGCTGTATTTAGTGGATAATGCTGTATTTAGTGGATAATGCTGTATTTAGTGGATAATGCTGTATTTAGTGGATAATGCTGTATTTAGTGGATAATGCTGTATTTAGTGGATAATGCTGTATTTAGTGGATAATGCTGTGAATAGGCCATCAAATATCTTGGAATCAGTTGTGTACTGATTTTAAGTATTAGAGGATCCAGTGGAACAATAATGCAGCTGTAGGGAAGTAATCAGCTGAAATCTGACCTCTGTTTGGTAAGAATGGTAGTTCTCAGATGAAAATTTAATACTCACAATTGGGGGAGGAATGGGGTATCAGGCAAATCACTAATATATCAAAAATACACATCTATTAGTGAATGTTTATGCAAAAAAAAAAAAATCAGCCTATCAATACATGCTTATGACTTAAATCCTTCCCCTGATCCTTTTTTTTCCCAATCTGCTTCATTGCTGTTCATTATTTTTTTTCATTTTCAGCCTATCATACCGCTATGATAAAATGTGAATGCTTTTCAGACTGACATGCACCCCAGTGATGGGGTGCATACTGGGGGAACATAAATAATTTAAGTTATATTATTGGCAATAACTGTAATAATTGTGAAGGCTATTTTTTCCAAAGTGTAAGTGGATCAACCCCATCTTCCCACCATGTTGCTGCTAAAACAGTGGAAAACAATTAGGTGTCCTTGACTAATTTGGGATGCAGTTTTCTCATCCAGTGATTCAGTAGTAAGAGAAGACAATCCAAAAATGATAAAAGTTATACATATATATGGATTTAGAAATTAGGCAGGCAACTGAGATGATATAAGGTAGGATTGGAAGGGGTGAACAGGTTGCAAGGCTGTGGTAGAGGCAGTGTAGAATTCAATGGGGGGACAGCATCTGAGAATCATAGGTTTACTTCATTCTCTCACTATGAGTTTGAAATCTTGACCTCAGAAAATTCTTAAAGAAGACATCCAAGATGGAACACGGGAGAAAGTCTGAAAGGCCCCACCAATTCCCAACATATTTTGATCATAATGACAATTGAGACCACTAACTTGGGTCATCTAACTTCCTTCTTACTACTTACACAGAGCGATGTGTGCTGTAATTCGCAAGGCATTAGATACTTAAGAGTAGTCTGATACTGGAGGACTTTAAGCAAGCAAAGGGATTGCTTGTGTCAGTTTATTTAAGTCACACTGCTCTTTTAGAAAGGTCTCTTATAAATGAATAGTTATTGTTGTTTTAAAATTACAGTGCTTTTAGGTAGTGAACTCTTGAATAGATATCAGTATATGCTTAAAAAGCAGTTCACATATTAATATCAACAGCTGGAAAAGAAGACTAAGTAATGGCCTAGTGTCTGAAAGAAAAGAGTAGCTTCTAATCTGAATAAGTACTAATAAGCAATTGAGACTGTGCATATTGAATAGATGAAATATATCTTTAACATTTCCTGTCTGTAAAGTTCATGTGAATCGCCAAGTGTAGTTCCACAGGGTTCAGTTCTTTGCTGGTAAACATTTTAATGAATGACTAACAGCTGAAAGAGATGCCTATCAAGTTTGTGGATATTAAAAAAAGTGCTGGATACCCCAGTAGATAGAATAAGAATTCAAAATGATCTTGAAAGGGTACAGGTAAATTAATAGAGATCAATAGGTTACTTTTTTTAATAATGTTTATTAAAGTTTAAAAATAAAGAGATAAAAAATAATACAAGCTAAGAAAAATATAAAAAGAAAAAAATAAAAAGGGAAAAGGGAAAAGAAGAAAAAAAGGGGGGCAGAAAAATATATAAAGAAAAAAGGAAAACATAAACAACTTTCTCCTTCATCGAGAAGTACAAATAATTTCAGTAACTTATCACCTTCTCTAACATTTCAACCAAAGTTCTCTTCATTCCATATCTCCAATTTTATCTATTAGTAAATAGTAAAATCTCATCATTTAAACTTAATCAGCAAAAGTTCATTGAGTTAACAGAAATAATCATATAAATAACATTAAACAAGTAAATCAATTTCCCTTTCCTTTCCTTTCCTTTCTTCCTTTCCTTTCCTTTCCTTTCCTTTCCTTTCCTTTCCTTTCCTTTCCTTTCCTTTCTACAGTAATGTATCATAATCTCTAAAAATACAACAGAAATCTCTTCTTCCTGTATTCTATCTTATATCTATAAGCAAACTTATAAAAGCTCTTTGTTCAAACTTAATATATAAAAAATCATTGAGAGCTACCATAAAATCTTAATCTTCAAACCCTTCAAATAATATCCCACAAATTAATTTCTTATCATTTTCTCTTCATCTCCTCTCAGAAATTATTTCCCAAATTTAATGCTTTTAACTTCATAACCTATCACTTCCTCTAAACATACAACAAAAAAATCTCTTCTCCCCATATCTTATCTAATAGCAAATCTTTAAGGCCTTGTCAATCAGTCCTGGTCAAGAAAAATCCATTAAAAACTACTAGAAGGGGAAAAAAATCATATATTTTAACCTTGATTGAACAAACCAACTTTATAATCCTTCTTTTTAGTTTTAAAAGCCTTGCTGTTTATTCCTTTTAAGTAATGTCCCAAAAGCTTATTTCTTTTCATTCTCTCTTTATTTTTTCTCAGAAACTCTTTCATAAGTGTAACACATCTCTTTTATAAGTCCAAAATAAGAAAGTTGTCCAAGTCGTTCTGTGTTGAAATCCACACATCCAAGACACTCTTCTGATTTATTATTTGTATGTCCCTTTTAGCTATTAAAACATCAGCTGGTTTCAT